GTAAGCCGCTTACAACGGGCGAAAATCGTAGCATACTTTACAGCGCACGGCATTTAAAATTTTTATTTTACCACGAAGCGGCGAGCACCTGTTTACTGTAGCACAAATTGCTTTTGTTTTTCGCTTTCAAAAAAAAATGCAATAAAAAACCATGCTACAAAATAAAAAACAAAATAATATATGTAAGGGGCTTACTGTCTAAGACTTTTGAAAATCAAATAAAAGAAATATCGCATATATTGCCAGCCCCCCCATGGACGTAGCCCCAACACTATTGATTGCTGTTTATGCGCTGCAATCTAACAAGAAGTAAGCCTGACAAAAGTTCCTTTCCCCCAGGCAGAAGGCGAAAGCATTCGATTTGTAAGTGCGTCCGCAACATGAACTCATAAATATGTATTGATTTTCCATTCGCCAGTTTCTTTTCATCTCAAGCACACACACACACACACGCACATACACACACACGTACACTCACGCAGTAAGTGCTTTCACGTGCTGGCGAAATTGAACGCTGCGTGAAATGCCAGACAATGGAAAATGCGACAGAGTTATGATTATGAAAACTTTTTTAAGCTGCCAAAAAAAAAAATGATGAAGCAGCAAGAGAAGTAGAATAAGAGGAATATCCACGAGCAAATTGCTCGCATATGTAAATGCAAAACAAATACGTGCGACTTATCGCAATTTGAGACGCATTGCGGAGTCAATGAACTGCATAAATGTTATATATGTATAAATACTTATGAGTTGTCTTGTTACGAAGCACACACTTCCCCAAGCCTTCGGTTTCCATGCCAATAGTCAAATGGCAGCATAACATGCAAACCCAAATGCAGCAGAGAAATTTTAAGTTGCAGAGCTAAAGCACAAATTGTGTGCAGTCCATGGGTAGCTAATGCTTAATACTCTGAAGTTTGACTAAATATTATTTCATATTCTCTATTTCATGTGGCTAACTTCATATTTCATACTACATCTTCTGTATTTTTGGCTTTTGGTAGAAATCATGAATAGCTGATGAGCTGAATTGAATACATATAGTGGATCTATAGATTGCACTTATAATATTTATAGATCAACAATGCACCAAACCAATACGCTCACTCTTAGTTTATTTACCAAGCAAGCAAACAGCCAACAGATGGCGCTTTGCAGCGTTTTAGATAGATTGCGCGTAATCAAAGCATGATGTGTTCACAACAAAAGTTCATTAATTTAACACGCTACAAAGCAAACATTTATTTATATAAACATATAGCTGTGCATGAGTATATTTATTATATACGCATATATGCTGCCACTACATTTGTTATGAGTAATTCGAGTTGTGCGTGTGTGTGTGTGGGTGTGACTGCGCTCATAACCAATTTATTAAATAGCTGGAAATTTGTCAGGTACGCGAACAGCTGCAGACTTTTTTCGAATTACTTTGTTTAAGCTCAAGAGACATTAAATTCAGCATATCATAAAGCTGTGCAAATGTGTGCGTAAAAGGCAGCAGTACTGAGATGTATTTAAGCTTGCGATGGCCATAAAAAAGGCAATCAAAAATGATAATAAATCGTTTTTATTGAGCATAATTAAACCTGTAAAATAATGAAATAGGCCACGAATTATGGGCAAAATTCAATATATAAAAATATCAGACCAGAAGAGTTCATAATTCTTCATTCAATCGTCATCAAATTTGCTTCTTAAGCTTTCTTCTATGTTAGCTAATTGCGCTCTGACTCCGACACATATTGTCCATATAAATAATTCTTCTGGCGTAACATATTGAAGCTTTAATTTCAAATTACTCAACATGTCACGCCCTAATCTACATCACAGCATGCGATTCAGCACAGTTTCAGCCAAAAAAACGCATTATTCAATATTAAATGTTAAGCCAGCAATGATTTAGTGCCTGATGTGAGCTTAAAAATAAATTGAAATTGTATTGAACTTGAACTAGTTATAAAATAATCTAATACCCAATTAAAATCGAAATAGATGCAACACATTCTCCATGAATACTCAGTGAACATTGGGCAATTAAGAGTGGCCACAAAATGCAGCTGGCAATTTGGGGCTGTCAGTTGTGAAGCTTACTGGCCGCACAATTAGCGAACTTGGTTAAAAAGAGCTTGATGGCCAGTTCGCCAGCACCCACAAGCTGGAGCCAATTAAAAAAAGACGGGCATTGATTCAAAGGTTGGGATTCTGGGCGCTGAATTGAAATTTGTAATTTTATAAAGGGGGGAAGCAGTTGCAGCTCAAAGCAGCTTAGAAACTTTCCCACTCGCTAATGCCCGTTGCCTAATTGCAAAGTACTCGGCGCAAACCCTCTTCAAAAAGGGGTTCTTAATTGTTTATAATTTGCGCAAAGACAATACCCAAATTTAAATTTAGGCCGACGGGCTTATGAAACGGTTTTAATTCATCAAGTGTATAAAGAAATGAATTAGCTGGAAATTAAAGACAGTCTGTTGAGAGCATGTAAGAGTCAGAAATATATTATTAATTTTTATTATATTATTAATATTTTATGTTTAAAATACATAATTATTCATCCAAGCCGGATAACCGGCGAAGCACAATGAGAAATGCAAATTATATACATAAAACAGAGACTGGAGCTGGTACAGAAAGAATTCTGGCTAAATTCCTGGGCAGGTATCTGGCCAAGAGTTGTCCAATTGTTGGCCACTTTTTGCGCTTGAGGCCCTTTTAGTCGTTTCATTTCGAAATAATTAAGGACAGCGCAAAAATGAGTTTAGGCACGTGCTGGACTTAGGAAATTGCTTTTTTGCCCGCTCTTGCCAACACTTGATGCGACGGCATCTTGACCTTTTATATTTTACTGCTTCCACAAGTATTTTTTCTTTATTTGCATGCTCCACAAGCAAGCAATATTTGTGGAAAACAAACAAATATAATAAACACACAGACAAATTTCTATTTATATTCCTCGTCTTCTCAGGATGGAGCCATCTTCAATTGTCCTTCGCTAACTAACAGAGTATTGCGCAGTTGATTGCTGCCGTCTTCTTCACTTTTTACCTGCACAATTCTCTCGTGCCGTTGAGTAAATGCTTTCAGTTTGCATGCCTTTTGTTTAGTCAGCGGACAAAAGCCGAACACAAAACGCATAACATTTGCCCCAAACATTCGCAGTGCATGTTGCAAGTAAGGGGAGAGACAATAGTTGCATGAACTTGTTTGCACAACTGCAGCATGTTTCTGTTGCCTAAATGCCGGCAAGAGCGCTCCCTTTCATTAGACGGCCACACAATGTGCAGAAAATTGTGCGGAAAGCTTTACAAATTGGCTTGTCGACAAATGTGGAGTCGAATACGCTGCGTATACGTTATATGCAGTCAGCTGTGACACGAGCGAGCAATTAAGTCAGCCATGCAAAACCGTTTATTGAGACCGCAAAAAGCAGCGCTTAATATCTTCATTGGCGCCACAAACTCCAAACCTCAAAACCCCAAAATAAAAGCCCATGAAAAATACATGAAAATTCTGTGGCCGCAGCACGAGTGCCAATTAAAGCAGCCTGAAAATAGCTCTTTAAGTTCCTTTCGCATTCTTTATGCAGCCCTGCGGCAATTTTAGGGCGTGGCAGCTGCGGTTGCATCCAAATGCAATGCAACAGCTGTCAAAACTAGTGAAACGCTCGAAATACAGGTAACAGCTGGCCAAAGTCTGATTGCGCTTTGCTTTAAGTATTTCACTTCATTTTGGCTACTTATGTTAAAGCATAATATAATAAAAGCTTAAATGTTTTTACTCTTTATTCAAGCTCATAGTGAAGGTCTTAATTTGTACTAATTTTCTAGCTATTCAACTAACTGGCTGAAACAACCTTCATCCAAATCAATTCCATGAATTCGCTAATTCACAGATTTTTCATGCAATCTGTTTTTTTGTATTTATTTACTATTTTTTTACAGCTGTAGACCAACTTATTGAGCTTTCTTTACATAATATTGACATCAAATCTTAATACAAAAGCAAAGGTTCTAATGAATAAATAAAAATAATATTCAAAAAATAAAAACTAAAGATATATTTATACCAAAAGATTGCCTAAATACCATTAATACAATTTACTAAATTTAAGATGAACATGCTTGAATTTGATTAGTCATTGATTTTAGTTATGATATTATATATAGGTATCTAATTTTATATTTATATTTTACATATATAAACATTTATTTTGTGATATTTTGGTTTTATATAAAAAAATATTTCTAACGGCTGAACTTATATGTATCAATAAACGCTCTCGATGCTTTTTGACACATTTTCGATAAGACACGACAAATATTCATACCGAATATTCTTCGTATAATTCGATTGCCAAATGTATTACATACTAATTGCTTTCATTCAAGCTTATATACGAACAGAGAGCAGTGCATTGACGAATCAAAAATAGATATTCTCTTTACATTTATTTATTTATTATTTGAAACACGCCGGCCTTTACAAGGCCAAATAAAATGGGATTGTTTGGAGCAGTCCGACGATTCGACCATAGCCCTACATTAAAATTGCTGTTATATTCGCACAGTACAACAATTAAATAGAAATAAATTGTATGCTGTTCAGATTCTAAATATTAGATTAGATTGATTGTTCAAGCCATCATCACGGATCATTTCCATAGCAGCCACGTGTGTGAGCTCAACTGTGCATCCAGAAAATCCCCTTAAAATGATACAAACCAGTTTTATTATATATTAGCTTCGACTCCATCGGGCACTAGCTCAGTTCAAATAGTCGACTCAATCGCGCCGGTTTCGTGTCGGCCCAGTGAATATTTTAGAGGGCAGCTCACAGAAATCGAATACGTGCAACAAGCGTGTCGGACGAACAATTATAGAACTCGCCAGATAAATTTGCTATTTGAACAAAAAAAAAATAGAAAAACCAAAGCTTAATAATTATATGAAATTTGTGACAAATGATTGAGTGAATATTTAATTGATAAAATATAACAATAGTCTAGGAATATTTACCTCTGAGTTCGTTGCGTAACAAATAGACGATGGTGGAGAAATCTTCATTTCGTTCGGCTGTAGACAAGCTGAGAAGTCTGCCATGGCGCGATCTCTTCTATATGTTTTATATAGAACCTGTTGTCGTTATGCTCATCTTTGCGCACATGCTCTCAGGTGAGTATAAGCACACACTTAAATACTTTGATAATAAAGCACTTGTATTTGGCAGGCGTTGTGATGCGCAATCAGATCATATATCAGACATGCAAAGTAATTTTCAATTACAATGAGACCGACTGCAGGCATCTGGACGACAAGGATGCCAGCCCCGAGATCCACGTATGTGCATCAAAATTAATCTGACCGTGCGTAAGACAATTATTCAAATATCATTAGGATTCCAGGCTATTGAAACGGAGATACAGTCGTATGTGGCTGACATGTTTCTCACGCGCACCTTGATGGAGAGCATTGTGCCAGCCTTTTGTGGCCTGTTTATTGGCTCCTGGTCGGATCATTACGGACGCAAGCCGCTGCTCGTCGTCTCAATGATTGGTCTGCACTGCACAAAGCATACGATTTGGCAGATATAAACCTTTAATACCCTTGCAGGCTTCGCTGGCTCCGCCTTGATAACGGCCGTCATATGTACGCTATCCAGCCGTCAGGACATTAATCCCTGGTGGTATACGATAGCTGCAGTGCCGCACTCCCTGCTGGGCGGCATGTGTGTCTTCTCGGTGGCCGCCTTTTGTTTTCTATCGGACATCACAGATATTAAGACCAGGCCCTACAGGTGCATACACTTAAAGAAATGTCTAGATATATTTTCGCTTTCGATATCAATTTGAAGTGAATGCAATTTTCTCTTAGCAAAAGTTATTTAACTCATTAACTCTCGAGACATTTTTCACATTATGCTTAAAGCATATTTCAAGTATTCAAATTATCTTTCAGTGTACATTTTGATAATCTGAAGCTCTTTGTTTTCGACCCCTTAGAATGATTGCAATTGAGTTTCTGGTGTTCATAGCGCTCAGCAGTGGCTCTTTGTTGTCCAGTTATGTGTATGAGGCCACTAGCGCCTCTATTACCCAAGGCATCTCAGCAGGAATTCTCATAGCGGCCACTTTGTTTATCATCGTCTATTTGCCTGAAAGCTTGAACATACGCCTAGAACAAGATGCCAAAGAGGAAGCCGATAAAGCCGAAAAGGATTTACCTAACATAGTCTGTGATACGCAACTAAACGCTGTGTGCACCATTGACAAAAATAGAGACCTCGAAAAAGACGTTGATCCCACAATCAAAGACTCCGAGCTTAAGCCTGAGCCTGCGCTGGATACAGTGACAGATAGCAAAAATGTTGTTCTCTTTGGACTAAAAACAAATGAGAGCACGAGGGAGACCGCAGCGAGCGAGCTCTGCACAACCGAAATACATTTGGATGATAAGAAGGAGCCAAAGCCTATGGAGTCTGTGCCGGGTAATGAAAAGCCCGAGACGAAATCTGAATCAGAGGTCCAGAATGTGGGTCTGTTTAGCTTAACGCACATCAAGGAGATGTTCAGAACGTGCTGCAAGCCTCGAGAGCATCACGCACGCGAAATCATTTGGCTGGTTACCTTGACAATGTTTATGTCAATGTTCGTAGTTGGTGAGCTCTAGAAATGTGTTTAACTGGGTGAATTCTGCTAATCAAATTGTCCTTTAGATGGTGGTATGACAGTCATGTACCTGTTTGTGCGGCAGAAGTTCCATTGGTCTGTGCGCGAGTTCACATTCTTTGAGACCATCAGCCAAGTTGTGCCCATGTTGGGTGCCCTGATTGGATTCCTAATGCTGCGCAAGGTAAGTGCTTTAGCTGTTCAGTGTTTTAGCTGTGAAAATATTTGACTACTTTAAGGTATTTGGCTTGTCTGTGGTAACGCTGGCGCTGCTCTCGCTCGGCTCAGAAATACTGAGCAACGTGACCAAGGGCTTTGCCATGCTGCCCTGGCACATGTATCTATCGATTGCCTTTGGCATATTCCGTTCCATTGGCGGCCCCATGTGCCGCACCATCGTCTCGAACATAGTTCCCGCCTCCGATTTGGGCAAGTCTCTAAGCCATTATGCATGTTCTTTACTTAACTATTTCATTGCAGGTAAAATTTTCTCCATCAAAAACGTCTTTCAATCCTTTGCACCTTTTGGTAAGAGCTGTTCACCTGCAAATATAACCCAAATTTTAATGATATAATTTTCATTTGATAGTCGCCGCACCACTGTATACGCTAATCTATCAGCGTTCGTTGTCTGTTTGCCCTGGTCTCTTCAATTTCGTCAGCGCAGCGCTCTTCTTGGTAGCTTTTGTTGCAATCGGGTAAGTGACGGATGCGAATGGCTTCGACCTTGGCTAATTGATTTTCCGATTCGCAGCTTTGTTTGGCGCTACAAGTTCATTCACAGAGAACATTATGGCAAGCTACTGAAATAAAATAAAGATCTCTCGATACAATCCCTAAAACAATAAAAAAAATAAAGGGCCAATTAAACATGTTTATCGAGATAGATCTTGGTTGGACGGGTATGTGTCGATTATCATGAGATAATCGGAAAATTTGGCTCCATGCTTGAATGTGATTGCATATTCGCTCCTAGCTTGACCATAAAAATACCTTAGGACAATTACTATCTGATACTTATCATACAACACAGCTCAAAACATATCTCCCATTCACATAATGATCAGACCTTACCGAACTTTAAATTTGAAAACACTTTTCTTGCGGCTTAAGCAGTGCACGATTTATTAATTTGACATAAATGGCAAAACACAGATATTTAGATATATATCAAAGTCGAGTAATATGTTGCTTATAATGAACATTATAATTTATACAAAAGGGTGAGTGACTATGCTCCAGTATCTGTTGCTTCCTGGTCGTATGAACTTTAATGGTATGGTACATGCTTGCATAGAAGCAATGAGCCAGTGTTTACATCACACTGATTAGCTCGATTGTGCAGATAGGCAGAGCAGATCAAGTTGGGCTTAAGCATAGACAAATCATCTGGTATAAATTATAACTTTTTGAATATAATTACTTGAGTGAGTAATTTGACTAAAAATAGACTAAACTATGATAATATTATTTCGAAATTGTGTCCAGCGAAAGTAGAACCACTCTAGTGAAAAGCACACAATACTCGTCAATATGCCAAAAGCATATATATATATAAAAGTAGTATAGAATTCCAAGGGTAACGGATACAGCATAGTTGGCTCGTAGGGTGCTACATTAATGTGTCCCATTTGCTCTGCCTGACGAAATCCCTGCTGCCTCCACTGCTCGGTTAGGCCGACCTCGTAAGCTTGACTGAGGAAGTGTTTCAACGATCTCAAAAAAAATATGCCCGGTTGCACATGGAACCTCAGATAACGCGGAACACCACACAATTTGTGTGGAGCCACTCTCAGCTTGGGCTGAACCAGCCGTTTCTGTTTTAGCTTCAGGGCCAGCCACCAGTGAGTCATCATCACATAGGCGTAGCTATCGTTTAAGCTGTACACATGCTGTGTCCACGTTTCTAAGTCAACCACAATCAAACGATTGCTTAGGCTTAACGGAATGTCATCGAATAGGGTTTCCACCTGCTGGGAATATACCATAATACGGAGTCCACTGGCCAAAAATGTTTCATCGTCCACAATATCGGGCATTTGTATGCCTGTGATAAGAACCGTTGTCAGAACGCTGATAAAAATGCTGAGTGTAATTAAATGGTAGATGAGTGTGCTGACTTCGATAATCTTTTCTGAGAGTCTCATGCGGCGAAACATTCGGTTCGTTACAGCTTGAGACATTACGAGCCGGAAATTCATAAAGAGCAGCTCAATTAATGACCGTCGCGGGTTGCAAATGCATTTGATCAGAGTGTTCACAATGAAATAAAATCCCATGAATAGAAGCAATGATTCATTCCTGTCGATATACGACAAATAGTGCCGTAAAGAAACCATTCGCTTAGAAGGCAGAATCAGGCAGATCCGTGTTGTCATTAAAAATGGAAAATGTGGATCCATAGACGGATATGGTTCAAGATTGGCGAAAATATTAATATCCCGATCATCTGCAGCGCGTCCTTTGATAAATTTATGATATTTATCAAATGACAGAGCCAAAAAATCCATTCTCCCGTTCATATAATTCATTAGCTCTTCTAGCATAAGTCCAACCTGACCGCCTAAGGTCACATGGCCATCAGGTGTTTTATACTGCAAATGTGAAGAACTGTTTTCTTTTTGATAGTAGATGAGATCGATCAGACTTACCAGAAAAGCGTCAGTTAATCGCGTGGAAAAGGCAACTAAGAATCGACATTGTCCCGAATCACCAATTTTACGATTATCGTCTGTACGAAATTCCTTTAAGTTTTCAAGAGTAACTCTATTTATCTTTATATCTGTATTGAGTTGGTATGTCCAGATTTCGAAAGTGTTATTGAGCTTTAGAAAAAGTAAAGTATTAGAAATGGTTCTTTCCAAACACCAAGTTAAGAAAACTTCCACGAAATTTTCAGGTAACAAATTATTCTTGATCTTGTGCACAAATAGGGTAGTTATATCCTTGATGTTTGTCAGCGATTGGTCAACCCTTTTGAGTAAGAGATCATGAGTGCCGTCAAAGAAAACCAATAACAAATTTTTCTCATTAATGACTCTGTAAAGCTTCCCAATTTCAGGTCCAGCCACAATCACCGGACGGTGAAATGTTTCCATTAAAGATTGCTGTAGCGATCCCATGTTCTGTTGCTGGTGTGCAAAGTACGTGATAAAGTTTTTAGCCTGCGTAAGTCGATAGAGTTCGGTAATGATCAGAATTAGTATGTCATTGTCTTCTTCTGTTTCCGCCACGGGCTTCAGTTGAGTATTCGCAAGTGCCAGAATGCAGCAGCACCAAAGACTGAAGCTTGCACACCTCATGACTGCAAATTACCGACTGATTTACTATTTCAATTTAAAAGCGCTATAATCCTTATAGTTATTAACCACCGTTACGTTGCAGCAGCAACTGCATATATAGCGCAATCCGATTTACCGTGTCATTCTTATTAATGTTTTTAGATAAGCAAAGAAAGAAAAAACCAGCTGCTTACTTAGTAAAAAAAAGCATAAATAAAAAGGAAAGAAAGTCGTGTGTTGCGGTAAAAGAGCAGCTCAATTAATGTAATCATCATTAACAATTTGGAAAATAAGTTAGTACGGACCCGTGCGGGTATCCTGCCTGTAACAGATGCAGCTTTTGCATTATCGACAAGCCCTAACAGATGTAGCCAAATAGACCAATAGATACTTCTGGTTTCTGGATGGTTCTTAAAGTAAAGCCACATCATACGAGAGCCAGCTTAAGGTGCAGAGTGTGCGTTATTTATTAAAGTGTTACAAAAAATGATTATGTATGTATAAGAATATCTTAGCCGCTTAATTATACTATGATTACAGCTTATACTATGATTGCTGCTTATACTATGATTACATCGTTGCGATTATTGGTTCGCCAAAAGTAGATACACTCCACCAACAACGCGACTAGGCTGAGCAATAGGCCATACGCATATAACTTCAGCGATTTGATGAAAAACCCAAGAGGCAACGGAAAAGGGGCAGGTGGTTCATAAGATGCCTCTGTCATTAGCCCGATTTGCTTAGCCTGACACAGTCCTTGTTCCATCCACTTGTCAGTGAAACCCGCTTCATGCATCTGCGATAAAAAGTGATTCATAACTTGTAAGTAGTATAGGTCCGAGCGTACATGAAACCTCAGATAGTGTGGCACGCCACACAACTTCTCTGGGGCCAGTCGCAGCTTGGGAAGTACAAGACGTCGCTGCCGAAAGTTTGTTACTTCCCATTGATGCGACGTCATTACATAAGCATAGCTATCGTTAAGGTTGTGAGTATGATCTACCCATAAATGAAGATCTACCAGGTCCACGCGATCCCTGAGGCTTTCAGGAATATGCTCGAATAGACTGTCCAGTTGCTCTGAATATACCATGATACGAAGTCCACTGTCCAAAAATGATTCATCGTCCACAATATCAGGCTTTCGCAGTCCAGTGATAAGAGCTGTTGCTAGGACACTGGCGAAGAGACTAACTATTACCACATTATAGATCTGCGTGGACACCTCCAAGATCTTTTCTGGTAAACTCAGGCTGCCGAACAGACGATTACTTAGAGCTTGTCCGATTAAGAGCTTCACAATTCCATAGATCTGCAGAGTCAACGGCTGTCGCGGATTTGCCATGCGCTTGATTACAATATACACGATGAAGCAGAAAATCCCGAATGAAAGCAAGGAGTATTCATGGTCAAAAGACAATACATAGTCGCGCAACGAAAGCTTTCGTTCATAGGGTAGTACCAAGCATATTTGAGTTGTCATTAAATTTGGAAAATGTGGATCCATCAATTGGTGCGATTCCAAGTTCGCGCCTATTTCAATAGGTCGATCACCGACATAGCCTTTGCCAATTACTTTTTGGTACTCTTCGTGGGATAACAGCGACAAATCCATTGCCCCGTTTATATAGCGCATTAGCTCGTTCAACATAATCCCAGCCAAGCCACCAAGTTGCACATGGCCATCGTGTGTTTTGTACTACAAATTAGATTATTGGATTATCATTTTAGAGTATGTTTAACAAGCCCAATGCGTACTTACGTAAAATGCATCAGGTAAGCGATTATAAAAGACAACAAAAGATACGGCCTTTTTCATATCGATGACTGTACGAAAAGTCTCCTTAGGTGTTTTTCTAAGATATTCAATGGTAGTTCTGTATAGGGCTATTTTTGGTTTCATGACATATACCCATATCTCATAAGTTTTGTCGTACTTAAAAAATAGAAGTGAATGAATCATTTGTTTTTCACAGCACCATTTGAAGAAGTGTTCCATGAAAGACCTTCCGGGTAGCAAGTTATCCCTTACCTCATACACAAAGATCAATTTTATATTGGTATTGTTAGCAACCGAGTTTGCCACCGAGTCGAGCAAAGGATCATTAATGCCATTAAAAAGGACCAACATTAAATTCCAGTCATAAGCGATTGTAATTTTTCCGATTTCGGGACCGCCTACCATCATCGGCCGATAAAATGTATCAATTAGAGATTGCTGTATGGATCCTAGGTGCTGTTGCTGGTCTCTAAAGTATGTGATAAAGTTATTGAATTTCGAAAATTGATCTAGCTCGTAAATAAGTGAAATAAGTATCCCATTATCGTCTTCATTATGCACTACGGGCAGCATTTGGCCATCTACCAGGACCAGAATGCTGTAACACCACAGGTACAGGCTTGCACACCTCATGGTTGTAAATTCTCGACTGCTTCACTTTCCTGTTGGGCTACCCCGTCGAAAGCTGTGCAGTGCTTGTTTGCATAGTTATTAAGCACCATTACGCTGGTGCTTCAACCTGGTGACACTGTTCATAAAATTTTATTCAGCACCAACTTTTATACTTCAAACATTCGAGCTAAATAAACAAGTAATATTATGCCATTCGTGTGCCATTATAATGTACGTATTATGCTTTAAAATCAGCCAGCGTATCAAAAATCCAACTATTTAGAAATATATTGTCTCCTCCAGGGTTAGCTGCATCAGTGTATATAAAAGAGTTTGTCCTGGCTGACTCCGTAAATTAGCTAAATATAAAGAAGGAGGTGTTATCTAGTCGGGACTCTGTACTTTGTGGCTGAATTCAAAGGGGTAAATGGACGGACTGATGGAAGAACTGACAATCGGACGGAATGACGGACAGACAAGCGGACGGACAAACAGACGAATAGAAGGGCGGACGGACAGATGGATAGAAGGACGGACAGATAGATAGAAGAACGGACGGAAAGACGGACTGAAGGACGGACGGACAGACGTAAGGATAGACATGCAGACGGACGGACAGAAGGTGGGAAGGACGTACAGACATCCTTATCAAGAATGTGGTGTGTGCCACGCATCCTTCTGCCATTACATAAATTTTCACAAAACTAATATACCCTGAAATGCCATTTTCAATGGGTTCAGGGTGTTCAAAATTGTTAAAAGGGCAAAGTTCTCGCTGGAGTAGAAACACTATTAAGTCAACCAAGAAATACAGAATTTCATTAAAGTGCTGAAACAGTGCTCGATTTATTGAAGTGCCAAAATGTGGCAAGAATATATAAGTTATAAATGTATGATACTTAAGCTAACATCAGGATGTTTAAGTCATGAATACAGTATTAGGATTTCTCAAATATACGATTAGGCATTCGAGCAAAAATGAGACTAGACTGAGTAGTAAGCACAAGCCGTATTGTTCAAAGGCTAGTTGATAAAACTTAAGAGGTAACGCGATACTGGTAACTGGATCATAAGGTGCCTTAGTTACAAATCCAGCTTCCTCTGCCTGGCGCAATCCCTGGTGCATCAACTTGGAAGTTAGTCCAAACTCATGTACCTTAAGCGTAAAATGTTTGAGAGCTTTGGAGTAGCACATGCCGCTGCACACATAAAGCTTGATATAACGTTGAGCGCTGCACAGCTTGTCAGTGGCCAGCCGTAGCTTAGGTTGACGCAGGCGACTTTGAATATACTCCAATATCATCCACTTGTGTGTCACCGTGATATACGCGTAGCTGTCGTTCAGGGCGTACATGTGCCGATCTCTTTCCTTCTTGTCCACAACGAGAAAACGTTTTTTAATCTCTTGCGGTAAAAAGTCAAACTCGTCCTCCAGTTGGTAGGGAAAGACCATAACATGAAGGCCACTTTCCAAAAAGGTTTCGGTGTCCACAATCCTTGGCTTTCGCAAGCCCGTAATGAGAGCTGTTGTCACGGCGCCTATTATAATATTCATAATTAAAACACTAAAGATCTGCGTAGAAATCTCTATATACTTTTCAGGCAAGCTCAGCCGTCGAAAAGCTTTGCCGGTTAGGCATTGTCCAACAGTGAGTCTTAAACTATTGAAAAAGATTCGAGCCAGCGTTACCCGCGGATTGATAATCCACATGACCACAGCATTCAAAAGAGTATAAAATACCATGAAACAAATCAGCGTTAACTTAGTGTCATAAATGTCACTAAAATACTTAATGAAAGTCCGACGTTCGTTGGGCAACACAAGGCACAATTGTGTCACCATCCACACTGGGCTGTGCAGGGACTCAGTGAAGTTGGATATCATATTAGCACCAATGTCAAAGTGTCTATCTTTCGTATTGCGAAGCGAAATTCTTTTCATATATTTGTCAAGCGACATTTCCGAAATACCTATAGACCCTTTCAGAGACTCCATAAATGAATTCAATAGGATGCCAATTCCGCCGCCCAGACGGACGCCGCTCGAAGAATTGTACTGCAATTGTAAATACCCAAAATCATTTTCGTTGAACTTGCCACGAAAACTTACCACAAATGCATCCGGCAGGCTTTGGTAAAGAGCTACCAAAGACCTGGGACTTCTCACTTCACTGCGTTTACATTTTTTAATGTAAATTGCTTGTCTAATTGAGCTTACAGAAAACTTAAGTGGTGACACTGTTGTTGTCCAGATCTCGTACTCATCGTTGCTCCTTAGGATCAACATCACGTTATTAAAATGGTAATTGTAGCACCAATTGAAAAATATTTCTGTGAACTCAGACTTGTTCCATAAATTTCCATTTGATTTGTACACGAAAATAATCCACATGGTCCTTAGGTTCTCCAACGAACTGTGCACTTCGGCCAGTATCGGATCATCAGTTCCGTTGAAAAACACAATAGCAACATTTCTTTTATTGATAATATTATCAAGTTTTCCAATTCCGGGTCCAGCAACAAGCACAGATCCGTTAAAGCTTTCCATTAGAGATTGTTGTAAGGAGGTAGCGCTTGTGGTTGCATTCTGGGGACTCTGGATTCCAAGGAACGTGACATAATTGGCGATTTGAAGATCTCGATTCAGCTCAGAAATAACCGCGAAAATTATAGTTTTCTCATCTTCGGTCTCCACTGCAGGCAATATTTGGCCAATGCCGACGGCCAGAATGCAGCAAAACCATAAACAGAAGCCAACACACCTCATTGCTGTAAATTCCAAACTGCTTCAGTATTCATATGAGCTATCCATTTCAGAGCTCTGCAATCGTTGTTTGCACAGCTATTAGGCGCCATTACGTTGCAAGTTCAGCTGCGGCATTGCATTTTATTTTGTGTTTGAATATCAATTACAAAAATCGAGGGCTAAACAGACATAATTCCAATACAGCTTAGTGTCTTTTTTATTCGTATATTTTGAACGATAAGTTGTCCGTCATCAGACAATCACTTGAAGGACATGCTAAAAGTAAATCTTTAACTTTCGTCAGATCAAGTGCTAATTAGGTTGCATGAAAGTTCACTTTAGCATGTCAGTTTCGAGTTGTGCTTTGGCTGCAAATGAAATGCATTATTTGAGCTCTGTAGTTGCCTTCAAGCTGACCTGTCAAGTTGTCTAATTACCAAAAGTGCCAGCTTTCGGATGTAGTTTTATTTGAATAGAACATGCGAGGACCCAGGGAAATGCATAATTCATGCGACAACATTTCGAGACACGGCTCAATCGACATTTGATATGGATAACAATTCGCTCGTCTCTTTGACTTTGGCACGCATTAAATGAATATTTCATGCCGCCAATGGCCAAAACTTTTGCGTTCGCAATTTGTGTCAGATGAATTGTTAATTCATACATCAATGCATATTTAATGCTGCATTTGCTGCTGTGCTGGTGCCCAAATTTATTTGTATTGGACAATGGGTAGGACCATACTGCAGGCTGCATGTCAATTATATAATCTACAATCAACTGCAGCTGCATGCATGAACAATAATATCAAATACTCTTGCTAACATTCAAATGGTTTGTGCTATTTAGCGTAATTGGGGCTTATGGCTCTGGCTTACAAACAGTAACTAAAGCCAGTTAAATTGAATCAGCATAATTTCCACGTGGCATAGAGGTATTATGCACATTAGCTAAAGAGCAGTAAAATTTATGAGCTAAATCTTAAACAAGTTATTAATCCACTTCTCCATGCACTGAAATGAGTCTGTAGGATATGTAAAATGGCCTTTTTGCTTTTCATTTACAGCAGAGAACTAACTTCGGCTTTTCAATTACTAATTTTGATGTATGAACATGGAATTAACGACCCTCCCATGCAATAGACATAAGTTATTGATGTTTGTTTGCATGAAGAATGTTCCTATTTAAATAAAAAACCGTTCAGCCAAATATGTTGCAGTTAAAGCAGTAACTGTTGGTCTCTCCGAGGCATGCCAAATCAAGAAAGTTTATCTTGAGCTAAAATCGCCACGTTTTTCTAAAACACCTTACTTGCTCTACTGATAAGTCTATAATTAATATGAACTACATATTTGGGCGTGGCAAGTCGAAATATAAGAACTTTTTAAGCCATTGCTTCTAACATGTCAACTTAAACCGAATAATAAAACATAATAAATTCTGTTTAAATTTAAAAAATATACAAAAAATTTTAATAAAATTGAAAAAGAATTTTTTATTAAATTTAAAAAACGTAAAATAGTAACTAAAATCAGAATTCACGGCTATCGCAGCTTGAAATTTGAGTACAAGTGTGGAGCAAGCGCCGCTTATTCAGGGCAAACATATCATTTAAACCCGCTGCTATACATCATTCGCCATATCAAGTTGCAGTTGGGTGTATTTGGGTGTGGCAATACAAGCAGAATCGCATCGTTCTAAGTACAAGTAAAAGTTATTAGAGCGTAAGTCCTGCCATTGCTTTGTTGCGCGTCCTGTGGCACTAAAGTCGCTAGTGTTCAGCGCGCAGCCAGAGGCGACAGTTTGCGGGGCATGAACCTGTGTCTCCGCACTTGAACCGCATGGCAAATGTTCATGTAAACGCTAAACTTTGTCGTGCTGCATGTGCGGCAGGCGGTTAAGTTTTACGAGACACGGGGCGTGGCATGCGCGCATTGTGCGTGCAGCCCGTTGAAAGGCCGCCGTCTTCCGGGTTCCAGATTGATGGCCAACACGACGTACACACATTAAGCCTCAAATTCTTAACATCGTCTTACATCATTTACGTGACTTAAAGCCAAAGATGGAAAGCAAAACAATTGAGTGCAACAAAATATTTTGGGTCCACAATTGTTGACGAAGGTCAAGTTCAGCATTTAGCATACACTTCGCCAAAGCCAGCAAATGAGCAGTCAACAACGTAACGCCTTGCCTTACGTTACGTACATGGCGTTAAACGTAAGCAAAAGGCTCGCTTGCTCTCTCGGCTCGGCGCTCTCTTAGTTCCTACGCTCTTGCCCGTTGGATAGTATAAAACGACAGCGCCAATGCCAGTGGCAGTCAGTTAGCTGCAGACGACGCGACGCCACGGAACAGCTGCCAGCAGCGAACTTTGGGGCAACGCTTCTTAATATTCTGGTCTCGAACACGTCGGCTGCTCTCTCTCCCTCTCTGTCGCGCTCAGCTTCTGTCTCGCAATTCATACGCGCTTATCAGCAGACGCTTTCGAAATGCCGTCGCTGCATTGCGCTTAGTTCGTAGCATACTTTTTTGGTGTAACATATCAAAGCAACAGCGTCAGCAACATCAGTCACATCGACAACTTGCAACATGTTTTGGATCTTACGGCGCACTGGCGCCGCCAATTTCTTCAACTCCCTGAACAACAATTGCAGCTTCAGCAAGGGCAACGGCAATGGAGGCGCCGGCGGCAATGGCAACCACAGCAACAGCACCCAGGGTAAGTTGCACAGTCCAGGTGGCAATTATATTTTTAGATTTCGACACCAGGCACTAATTGATTGGACTGCCTAATTAGTGTGACATGACTCAGACACTCAGCGCTCCGCTCTGTAATCAAGGCGCTAAGCTAGACAAGAAACTGAGACAAAGTGATTGCTAAATTACTCAAGAGCTTCTCGAATCTCCATTAGCTCACTGCGTGTTCTGTGCATTAAAACAAGCTGAATAAATTAGTTTCTACAGCTGAAATGAACTGTTTTTTAACGTGCAGCATTGAAAGTATTAAAATCTTTAACTCACAATCAGGTAAAAGCTTTGTTAAAGTATTCGTGTGTGTGCTGTGAAAGTTTTAGGAAAAACTTTCTGAAATATTTGTATAGCTTATCGCACAGCCATAGCACGTATTTCATATAACTTTTCGCCAGTTATACAATCGCATAAAAGTTGCATTGATATTTAATAGTCTTCGGGGCAATAAGTTTTTGTGCAATTTAATGTGTATTTGGTATTTCGTATATTAAATAAAAATACTTTCATATAAAATCTATTTTTCAAACTACGAACTCTATTTTCGGCTAATAATAAATAATGAAATTTATAGTCCAGCTCTAGGATGAGCACCCAGGAAACAATATGATATCCCAATAAATTAAAGTTCTCTAAATACTTTCAGCAACTCAGCTTAATATAACAGCTTTAGTTCCCCTGGCTCTACTTTTTAAATATTAAAATTAAAAAAGAAAAAACGAATCAATTATTTTAATTTATAATTTAATTCTCAACATGTATGCAATCTTTATAAAAATAAAATTCTAAAAAGCAAAGAATTTTGAACAATCCCCAAGCTTTCACTTGAAATGCCAAAATGAAAAATCTTTAGCTGAAATTCATAAAACTTCGCACGTAGCAAAGCAAGTTAATTAAAATGCGCAAAATGATTTGAGAACAACATAATACAGGCAAGCATATGTATGTGTGTGTGTATTATACTTAAGTACACACTTGTACCTATTGTTTGCACAAAATCATCTAGCATATGGCCAGAGCCAGCGATGGCCAATGGAAAAATGCGAGCCCATTGAAGCAAAGCAAATACGAGCCACAAGCCTCTCTTAATAATAAGCTTCTCCTTATGGGTTTACTTGCACATACATATGTCTGCGCGGCTTTGTGTGTGTGTGTGTGTGTGGAGTATGAGTGGGTGTCGTAAACGTGCCTCGGATATGACTGTCGAAACAAACACTTCAGGCGTTGTCCCCTGATGCTTTTGTCTAAGCGCTAAGCCTCGCGCTGGCTTCAACGCCTAGCATAAAACTCGTGATAAAGCGAGCAGCAAAAGGAAGACCGAAACGGAAACTCCAGATAAATAGACAAGTTCTCGTTGCCAACAATTACATATGAAAAGAAATGAACAGAAAAACCAAGATTAATAATGGAATGCCATTTATATAGAAGACTATTCATTTCAAGATTAGTTTTTATATATAAATCTCACTTTTAATTAAATTTTATATAATTGAAGTTCACATTAAATAGTTAAAGTAAAACTGTTTTTATATAATAAAAAGAATATTTGAAATTCATATCATATTAAGCCAAATAATATTAAATTTATTTCAGCCTCTTTTGCATGAATTATATATTTTTTAATTTTACAGAATAAATATTTAATTATTTCCTCAGTTCACATTCGGCCTTTGATTCAGTAGAAATATCTTTTGCATATTAATGATGCAATTTTAATGCAGATTAAAGGCAAATATTTCGCAAGCATTCCATAAATAGATAATATTCCAATAATTGTTTTAATTTACCAAAGATAAAACAAATGAATTAATTTAACTCATACATATACTTGAAAAATTCCATTGAATTGCCAGGCTGATTAAGCCTTTAAATGCTAATTAGCAGATGCAAAAATATTTGTAAATAAATTGTAAATTGACAATGTACTTAAAATAACATTGTTTCTTATTCCACCTAAAATGCAGTTAAATTGTAAACAACAATAAAATATTGCCATATATTGTTTATAGTAATTGAATTCGTAATGGGCTGACAATATTTTATGAGCAGCAGCAGGAAAAAAAGTAAATTTGATTATCAGCCATTTTGTTAAATGAACAACATATGTTTAACACACACTCACTCCCACATACACACACACACACGCGCACACAGGCCATTTATTATGCAAATGCTGGTCAACATATGTCAGCGGCATTAACCGATAATTATGACAGCCATTTGTCATTGATAATAATGCCCGCAATATTCCCATTTGTGCAGACATATGCGCACTGCATTCAATTTAGGGCAATTGTTTAACAACAAAAGCAATTATACGCACAGTTACGCCATTTTACATGCGTGTGTGGGTGTGTATATATACGTGCCAATTAGTTGCGCTGCACGCGCAAAAAACTTGCCAAATTTTTGAAGGCCACGCTTGACTTTTTGCTTTCAATGGCTGCTAATTTTCCAAAGTTTGACTGCAGACACCATTAGTGTCTCAGAATGTTGGCCTAGACGGCTCATAATGGCCTGAAGGGAGGCTACAACAAACATAAACTATGTTGCGACTAATTTTTTGATACAGCTCGCAGCCAATAATGATCAATCTAGTAGTAACAATTATGGATATGATTACTATTTCTATGATTATTATTATTATTATTGTCAATATTATACTTATGATTATGATTCGTATTTGCTTCATTAGTATATTCTAGTTATTATATAATTGTAATTATTTTAAGACATCTAAGTGTAAACTTGATGAAAGAGAAAACTATGTAATGGACTATTATCTAAATTGAATAAATTGTGTAAAATTCCTAGGGTAGCTACAAATCGAAAGACCTCATTTAGTGCAGTTTTGTACAATTTGTTGCTATATTAAACGTATATTTTATACAATCTGGCAAATGATTGGGCGTTTATCGGGGCGTATTAATGTTGCCAAGACAGGCGAGGCCAGGCCATGTTTGGGCTATGATTTATGTTGGCAACTCCAACAAGCTGTCAGCCGCCGGCGCATCATTTGTAATAATTTGTGTTGTAATGCGAATTTTCTGCTTTTTTTGCACACACGCGAAAATAACTTAATCTTTGATTCGGTCTTAGATTGCATATGAGTCGAAGCAGGCGCTGGCGCGTGCGAAACTTAAAGGCCAACTATTTGCGCGTTGTTGTCGTTTCACACTTACCCCCTCTATCTTTCTCCCTCTCTCTCTTTTTGCAGTTGTTTGTGTCATAAATTTCAATCTGCGCATAGCAAAAGGCCAGCGGCAGCAGTCGCACACACACGCAACTGCTTGGCGTTAAATGCTTGGGCACAAAACTTGTTGTTGCATACTTTTTAGCGCGCTGCTCACATACACACTTACACACACCCATATATACATATATAAATATATATATGCCAGCAATAAAAATGAGTTTTATTTGGCTTCATGGACGAACGCGTGCTTTCACAGCTCCACAAACAATTTTCGCATTTGCCCCCAGCTTACAGCACCTGCTGTATGTATGTGTGTGTGTGTGTGTGTGTGTGTCTGCGTGTGTACGTTAGTGTTTACTTGTCTCGCTTTTTAATATTCATGCTCGCCTTTATTTATTTCATTGTGCTTTACCAGCACAGCAAAATTCTTGGAATAACCTTTTGACATTTTACTTTTTACATCAACTCAAATTGGGCCTTGATTGACTCAATCTCTTCACTCTTTAAGCTGCTTCGAATTAGATGATCTATCAAATGCATATCCAGTACAAGCCCAATCACCAATGCAAATATATTGAGTGTAATTTGTTTTAAAAAAAAAAATAATCAGATTTCTTTCTCATCTTTAAAAAATGTTGAATTCAATGGAATTCTATTATGAAAGATATGGTATTGCTCAATGCTCACGTTTTAGCTCTAGGAAATCATTGTTAAATATTCATGTTCTATTCAAAGCTAATTTAAATTTGGCTATACAATTCCAGCTCATTGGCGTCTCTTTCTTTTTTCATACAAACTGATTGTCTTAACGTTGAATTAATTGTTCGACTCTCGATGTTCTACTGCTGCATTGGAACAAACTCGTTGTGGTACATGAACGAATTGAATATTCATGGGAAGAACTGTTTTGGCAACATACAAAATATTTATGTATTCAAGCTGAAATCCGATGCAAGCTCTTGGTATTGCGCATTGCGTATACGCCTGGCTAACCTGATAGTCATTTAGGTTCGCTGGTCGATTCGTTAATGAGCGCTTCGCAGCCGAAAGGTACCACCATAAATAGGTTCATAAATAAAAACCTTTAGAGAATTTATAGGTCGCTACTATTTATGGCAAGGCTCAGCCAGCATACACACCCGCTCAATAAATCTCATTTTATCACTTCACGGCTCGAGGACAACCGGCAAAACTTTTGTGCAGGACATAAGATGGCAAACAAAAACCGGAGCTAAGCTGAGGCAGAGATCGAAACAAAGGCCGAGGGCAACACAAAGACGCGCATAAATTGTCAGCTGCAGCGCAAAGAAATAAAAAACCAATTTATAATTTCGATGGGGCGAAAAGAAAGTTTTCGCCGAGCCAGCAGCAGCTGACAAGTCGCATATGTGCCACAGATAGCTGTGAAAGGGGCGGGCGGCAGGCGGCGGTCGGGTTGTGAGCAGAGAGTCACCGAAATATTGTGCACAAATTGATGGGGCTAATTAAATGTTTGGTGTCCTTGCTGTTATTGTTGCAGACAAATACGTGAAGCGGCCGCCACGTAAGGCTTACGGCAGGCTGAGTGCCGAGGCGGACGATGCCGTGTCTCTGGGCCATAAAATCGATGATCCATTCGATGAGCTAGATGACTTTGAAATGCTGGCACCTGGCGCCGCTAGCAGCAGCAACAGCAGCAACATCAATAACAGCAACGGCAACAATGCCAACCACAACCAGAACACGAACAGCAACAATATCAACGGCCAAGACGAGGCCAATGGCAATGAGAAGGGCATGCAGCTATTGGCATGTACGAACGCCGATTGCCAGGGCAACTTTGTGGTGGAGAGCGCATTATGCGAGCTGGGCCTATGCCAGGCTAAAGGCAAATCATCAAAGGACCTGTCAGCAGCGGCCATGCCCAAGCAGATTAACGAAAGCACAATAAGCCGCCTTCACGCACTGGCCATGGCCGACGATGACGATGATTACGGTGAGTTGGCACAAAAGCAGAGAAAAAGTAAATGTCACTCCCTGTAGAAATTAGACGAATGATGCGGGTTTCTGTTCGCTTACAGATGAATCGCTTACCTGCAATGTGTGTGACCGATCCTTCCATTGTCATCGGCAGCTGGCCTCGCATCAGCAGAAGAAGCGACACTTTGGGTAATCAATGGCTTTACCTGCTTTTTCAGCTAAAGCCAACCAATCGCAATGTCAAACTCTCGTTACAGCTGCAGTGGCTGCGACAGTTTGTTCCCATCCCTGATGTTGCTGGAGCATCATAAGGAGGAGTTCGAGCATTGGAGCGACGATGAAATGGGACGACGCGTTTGCTGTCGCCGCAATCGCTGCGATGATGACTACTTTACGGACACCGACTCCTACATCAGTGATGCGGAGAGCGAGGACCTCGAACGGTTGTTGTAAACACTCTACAGCAACAGCTGCAGCTCGCTGATGAGCCGCGCAGCTGTTGCCGTCGCTAAAAAAAGTGTGTGTGATGGTGCGTATACGCTATATTTCTAACTTTAAAAGTTTAGCTAAAAATTAAATGAAAATTTCTTCGTTTAGAACTTTTTATAATTGTGTGTGTTGAATATATATCTGAATTAGCTTTACTTGAAAATTAAGGTTGATTTCTATTTCCAAATTAAATTTTTATTTCTATTTCCATATTAAGTTTTATATATCTAAAAATACTTAAAGCAGATAATCATCTATAATTTTTTAAATTTAACATTTTACTTCAATTTTTATTAAGCACGTTTGGCAAATGCATTCAATGAAATGTGAATTTTTCATCACTTATATTTTTATAATGATTTTCACTTCACTTAATTTCTTTAAGAAAAAGATAAAATATTGCTGCATATAAATTACATAAATTACGTTCATGCTCATTCAATTTAAAACATTATCGCCTCGAATTCTCCACTTGTGAACTTGCGAAAAAAAAGAAGAAGAAGAAAAATGTAACCTTAAAACCAAAATGAATTTCTTTTGTTGTATTGCAGTCAAAGGCAAAGCCTTTGGGAGCTGGCATTGTGCGGCGTCAATTGTAAGGACAAAAAGCTGGATAAACGGCGCACCGGAAATGGCCGAGAGTACAGCGAGCGAGTGTGGCCCATAATGAAAATAAATTAAACCAGCTGACAAACAAAGCTCGTGAACAATGGCAAATGTGGCACGCAACCTCAGCGGCTGAAATTCGAAAACAAGTCAAAAAAATTCTTTGCGCTGCGGCATATGGTATTATATTTTAGAGTTTAACTGCAGACCCATAGCAAATGGTCTTAAAACAAACATAAGCATATGTATATACATAAATATATATATATATATATATCGAACTAGTTGTGTGTATGCGAGTGTCAAAGAAAAACAGAAAACTTAAAAAAAACACTCTCCCAAACCTCCCTCAAAAAAATTGAATTCATATCATAAAATGCATATGTATCAACCAAACTGAAAGTATTTATGTGCGAATACGTATGTGCATGAGAAGAAATATATAGACAAATGAAAGAAACCTGTATTTTTAAATACCCCAAATAAATATGTGTATATTGTAAGACCCGGACCGTGTTTAATATGCATAGACTACTTGAAAATTCGCAGCAATTAAGAGGAAATTAAAAATGCTTCAAAATGTTATTTAAATTGAAGTCCGTTTGCGAAGTGTCCCCGCCTAAATCAATACACAAAAGCAAGATGCAATCACCAAGAACAAGCAGCAGAGGAAGATAATAAAGAGACTGGCCGTGTCCCCTACGGACATTTGGTAAATTATTCAACGGAACGAACTGTGAGACAACGGTACCTTCATTAAAAACTTGATTGACTTCATAAAGTTATCGGAGGGGCAACAGCTGGCTGTGGCAGGACTGCGACAATCGTCGTGAAAACTTTCTGCCACTTGAGGCTATTTCCCTATGCAAAGAAAAACACACAAATTTATTTTCCTTTACGCCCCCTGTCCAAATATAAAAGAAAATTTAAATGTGCGACAAAATAGGTAAGTTCGAAAGGTAAGTATGAGAAGAAGCAAACAAAAAGCTTTCATGGTTGAAAGTTGAGCAAACTTTCGGAAACAAAATATATTTATTTCTAATAACAAAACAAAATTCAATATATTAAGATGAAAACTTTAGCATATTTGCTGCAGACACAAACAACAATATTTAGAATTTTTCTTAAAAATGTATATTTTTAAATTTGTCTTAACGAAAAATTGGGGCATTGACGAAGCTGAAGCAGCAATGCTACTGAAGAGAGAAACTCTTGCTATTTGCAACACTTACTCGTCACTCGTTTAGTTAACATTCGTCAACTAATATTTAGCCAAGTTGTAAAAGAGCACTAACAATTTGACAGTTTTCAAGTTACACTTAAATTACCTCTTTCAAGAATATAACTATACATTTAATCATGCAAAACCATAAAAATATTGATTTTTGATTACATTTAACTGTTTGTAGACCGTTAACAACCGCAGGCAACATTCATACTTTTTTGTATACCCTGAAATGAGAATTCATCGTAAAATATCTTAGTGAACATGTATGCTACAAGAAGGAGGTGTGACAGACCCAATATTCTAGATCAAGACAACAAGCTGTGTCGATTTAGTCATGCCCGCCTGAATGCCTGTTCATCCGTATAAACGCTGACATCTCATTAGCCACAAAAGCTAGAGACTTGAAACTTAAAATATCTTTTCCTCTATTTATCATATTTTTTGATAACTCATTCCATTTTCTGAATATGGATAAAAAGTTTCAATGCCATAAAGGAGGGTTCCTCTAATAATAATACGTAGATTCTGTATATTTTGGATCCCTAATGCCTCGTCCTTCCCGACCCGAATCTCGGCCCGAAAGAATATGTATTTCAAATACTAAAGTCATATGCTTGGGTTAACAGGTCATCTGAAAGTTGAGCAGTCTCCTACTTGTTTTATATTTTAATTGTTAATTCGTGCGTTCGACAGAATTTCGAGGTAGACAAACAAATAAACAAATGGCACAACAGAACTCATAAATATTTTTAATTATCGCCTCGTTTTGTATGAAAATAAAAAAGAAAACATTTCTTGGATATCTTGTATCCTGTTATTGTCAACTGGACGAAGGTTAAGCTTAAACAACCGGAAGAAAAATAAGCAACATATTTTGCCATTGTGCTGGCTTCGTATTTATAAAACGAATATTTATGTATGTAAACAAATTTGCTGTTTCGAAATTTAAGCAAGCATCCGCTTTCAGGCAGGATTGAGTGGGCGGGAAGCTTTTGTAATTTGCCGGGGCACCAGAGGACTGGCATTCATTTCACGTAATTCATTTCCTGATTGCACAAAGGCACTGGCGACATCCGTTTTGATTGATGCGTGTAAAGTCCCATTCAGCTGCCATGCAAAACGCACCAGTCGTCTGCCCCGCTACGCCGCCAGAGAGCCCTCGTATTCATCAACCATATGCAACCATAGTGTCCAAGCGAGTGTCATGATGCGGACAGCTCATTTGACAATTTGATAAATGCAGGCGCATAAAATCTACGGCGAGTAACCAACCGGACGGGCCAGTCCGGCTGCGTGGCAGCACATTGCTAGGACATTAAATTTTTGATATGATTTTATTACGGCACTCGTAAAAGCAAACATTTTATGCGTACATCATACGCACTGTTGGCCACGCGACCATTTACCATTTACATAAAACCAAAAGAGCCGCCAGCGGACAACCAGACAGCGAATTGTTTATGCGACCACGCATCAAAAGCCGCTTTCAGAAAGCAATTCAAATGCAAATTTACATAAGCCATTAAATTTTTTATCCATTGTGTTGTGTTGTCGTTTGGCCAACAGATGTTGGCCTCAGCCCCAGGCTGCCCGAAGACGCTGCCTAGTTCTTGTCACAGCCGAAGGTCTGGAGGCTACAGGTATAATCACAAAGGAGCTTGCCCTCTTTTGTTCGCCAAGTTAGACAGCACTTTTATATGCCATTCAACACAATATTTGTAAAGATTGTGAGCTTTTTTATTGCACGTTTCCGCACTCAGAGAAAACACTTTTTGAATCCTTATCTAAAATACAAATTCATATGTCGAATATGCTTAACTGATTTTCGTTTCATTCAGTTTGCCGAATATACAACAGACAAACGCTTGACTGTTTTGATGCTGAGAATTCGTTCAAGCTCTTAAATACTTTAACAGATTTTTGTCTGCATATCAACTCTCGTCTGACAGAAAGCAAGTGGGTTCACAGCCAGTGAAAACTGCCATTGTCGGAGCTGCCACGGGCGTGGAAAGCATATAAAAACCCGCACAAACAGGCAAAAACCGTGCGTGACAGGCAGCTCGTAGATGAGAGTAGATGGAGCGGAAAATATTTCAGTTTTAAAATGCAAGTGAAGTGCATTAAAAAAGTAGTCGGCTCAACTGGCAAAGGCCCGCTGACGTGCTGCATGCCAATCAGGGCAATTTGCTGCCCAAATTGGCCTGCAGTCTAAGCCACGTGCTGTTGCCAGGTGATGTCGACAGCCATTAGCTAATTAAGCGCTCAAGGTGTCTCGCACACACACAAAAAAAGAGACAAAAGCAGAACGTAAACAGTAGAAGCAGAGAGAGTGAAAAAGTAGTATAATAGAAAATGAAAAGTAAAAATAAACTACGTTAAGAATGCACCAACTTGAGGCATACACTTAACACCTGCCTGGCGTGCAATATGAAAAGGTGTTAAGAACTATTTTAAAGACCGTGAAAGAGTGCATTAAATATGCATTGTGCAGCAATTTAATAAGCTGAGCTTCAATTTAACTTGACGCAAAGTTGTGGGCTTCTTGTTGCCGGCGCTTGTCTGGAGTAACTCAACATTTGATTTTCTTGCATAACAATTTCAACTTTACTTTAGTAAATAGTTTCCTCTTGTATACGAAATAAATGTGGTATCGGAGGCTAAAAGCCGTAAAAGTTACAGAAATATATGTAAGCTAAAGAAGAGTTTTTTGAGGTTCACAACTGTGAGTTGGCAGCCCTGATTGATTTGACAACTCATTTAACAGTTAATAGTTGCTTTTTATTGAGGTTGGTTTAACTTTTTATTATGGATAGATTTACAAAAGCGCAGCGCTTGCAAATTGTTCAAATTGTTATCGAAATAATGGCTCTGTTCGTCAAACTTATCGTCCAGCTCTCTCTTTTCATGGCGTTCGTGATGATGAGGCCAATTTATTGTTGAATGACAAGATTTTTTTTATTTTTTACTTTGAATGAGTTAATCCACAAGCTTTCACTGATTGCTCCTACTGCTTGGGTGTTCACACACAATCAGAATTATATTTAAGCATTAATGTCTTAACATCATCTATCCAATAAAATTCACTTAATTTACATTAAATATAAATTGTTGTACTTGAATATAATTTGAATTTATATAACTCTAAAAAATACAGACTTCAGTTAGTCTGCAAAACAAATGGAAATAATGTCTTATAAGTATTTTTATAATCATAACCTATAACAAAAATATTCTAAAAATTAATTAATTATTCTAATACGCATTTATATTTAAACAAAATCGTATATTATTTTACTATCCTTATAGTTGGCTACAACAGAAAAAATTTTTAAATATTTTTAAATTCATCAAAATAAACTTAACTACGCAATTAACCATTCAATCTGACAAACTTATCTTCATGGTGAAATATGAAAAGTAATTAATTTACGTTTTCATTAAATTTATGTCGCCTTAAGATAGAACGAGTTAATTAAAAATGTAGCTGACTCTTGACAATGGCCTCAAGTCAAAGCAAAACCGCAGAGTGTTGTGTTTATAAATGAGAATATTATAGGAATGATGAATGTGTCAGCAAAATTCACAATTCAAACCATTCACAATGAAGACAAATGAATAAGCGACTGAGCAGACGGCGTGGAGGAAGCTAGATAACAAAAAGTAATGCAGTCGAGGACTACGCTTAAGCAGCTGTTGCTAACAACCCTTCAGTCAATCTTTGGTAGGCCTTACGGGTCTCAGAGTCGATTTTGTTTCATTGACATGGTGAATCTGATTAAAGCCTGTTTTGTTAACCTACTAACTGCGTAACTGTGTTTCCTACAAGCTGTGGCCCGTTTCCTTCGTGCTGCTACACCTCTGCCTCAAATGTCAACATTGTCATGTAAGCAATTTGCATACCCAGCAATCGGTTGCGTTGAAGGGTAGATATGTTGCAGCTTTAACTTGCAAAACAATTAGCACATAAAACCTTACAATTCACTTCTTAAATAAATAATAAATGTTGACAATATACCACCTATATCAGCTAAGAATGTGTCATATATGCTATAGGGTATCTTATAGTGTGCTTTTACTGTCACTATTGACAGTCAAATGCAAACGTGCCTCAGAGTTGAGTTCCTTCTAAGCTGGTTGGCAACAGTTGCAGGACAAGTTAACCCCAGCCATTACAGTCAAAAGTTACTCAATGTTCATTGATGAGCACACACACACAGAGTCACGCCCCCGCCCACAGAGTTGTGCG